CGGTATACATATTATCTTCGCTTATAATTAATCATTTATTGTTTTTGCAATCATTATTTATCGATGAATTATTTTTGCGTTGCGAAACACATAGCTTTGCTGTACAGTTTGGTTCATCCAAATCTGTATTTTAAATCTTCAATATAAAAGAGAAAAAATAAGAATTTCAGTACTTTCTATTTAGTGAATAATTATCTTATATTTTTTTGGCTGAAATGTATAAGAAATGTGTTTAATAAATTCCATTTTTAAAAGAAATAAAATAAAAGCTTCGAATATGATAAAGAAAAAAAGCTGCAGTCTTTCTTTGATTAACTATTAAAAAATTTTCTTTATATTGCGATATAAGTAATAATTACGTGTCTTGCAATTTACCAAAGCATAATTATCTAATAATTAATTAACAATAGCTGTTATTGATACAATAGGATGCCTCGAAAACGGCGCGCCTCGACATCGTCATTGGAGGAATATCCTTCTGAGGAAAAATACATGAAGGACGACATGGACGGTCGCGCTCCGCGAAACGCTGCTAATGCCCGTGAACGTGCACGAATGCGAATACTAAGCAAAGCATTTTGTAGATTAAAAACAACATTGCCATGGATACCCGCCGATAGTAAATTGAGCAAACTCGATACATTGCGATTGGCCGCAACATACATCGCTCATCTACGAGCAGTACTTCGAGACGATGGTGAAACTCATACTGAAACCACGAAATCCTTGTCACTGGCTTTGGTGAGTACCCATTTCTATCTTCATTAAAATTAGAATTAAAATTCGAACAAGTTTAACTCCTTTTTTTATTTTAAGAAACTGCAGTTAAACTTTAATTAACGTTAATAGCAATAATCATACGTATACTAATATTAAAAAATGTTATAGTACAGTAAACAAATAAAATTGTTCATTAATTAACAATTAATTCATTAATCAGAGAATTGTTAGAAAAAATAGATTTAACGAAAAGAGACCCTAAAAAATCTAAGTGTCAAGTACCTTTTAAGATCTTTTTCATAAAGAATCTTACTGTTATTCTTTGATACAAATTTCATTCCACAAAATGTGGGATTAAACAAAATTGTTGATTTATCTAATTTTAACGGGAATCTAAAGTGCGAGTTATTTCCAAACTATTTCTCGTTCTTACGATCAGACTTTCGACTTGATAACGATTCCGTAAAATAACACAGAGACCAGGTGGATCCACTCGGAGTCGCGAGCGCCGTCTTCGCAGTCATCTTACTCTGTTTATGTCTGTCCAGGTGGATTGAATCACTTCAAAACCTTCCACCCACCCTTTACTACCATTAATTCTAAGTTAGTTTCGTTGTTTGAAGAAGCATACTGTTTTCCGCCGCGAAATAGTTGGTCTCTCGTTGCCCTTCTTTCGCGAAGATCAAAGAACGTTATTCTGTTTGTAAAATTGTTAAAAATGATGTTATTTTGCTATGTAAATTTAAATTATATTTTTATGTAGATTCAAATAAATTCGAGTTGACATTTGAAAAAAGTGAGATCTCATGATAATACATAAATAAATGTCTAATTTATAATACACTATCGATATATCGACACTTATAATTAATCAGTATTTTACGGCGAACAATTTTAATAATACTCGAAAAAGTTATCAATGCGCACCGCGATTTACTTTATAATCGAGGCATTTAAATATTCGAATCAATAATACGGTAAGGATGATTTTAATTACAGTCATGGCCATTCGCTATTCAAAGTAACAACACAACCACGCTTATGAACAACAGTTGCAACGTGTCCTCCTCGACGTCTTCGAGTTGTAATCAGTATCGAGGACAGCAAGTAACTCATGATATCCAAAACTTCCATCATTCAGGTCATCAGGGCGTGTCCATACGCCATAATCAGGAGCAACAGCTCTCTTATTACTAACAAAAAAATTCTAACAATCCAATCAGAACTTAACTACAGCGAGCGATATCTACGAAGAGCGACTACCAGCTGGGTTACACGACGGTGCTATTCGTGTATTCACGCCTTATTTATTCCATAGTGCCTTACTCTAGTATTTATTGATTTAATCTTAATGTATAATTACGGTTGCATCTCCACTTGTGTGACAAGGAAATAATATACGTTCATGTTTCGACCGTACGCATTTTTTTGCATATCGACGAAACCTCTATTCTGTATATTTTTAAAAGTCTGAATGAATCAAAATTATAAGTAAAAATGACAATTACGGGTAAAATAGACAAAATCATTTTTTGTCGTTTAAGAACATTGATTTCTATAAGTTGTGTTTCTCACATATACGGTCCTATAAAATTTAATAAAATCATTTTTGTTTTATTTTATAAAGAAAAGAACAAAAATCGAGAATTCAGTATAATTTCGATTTATTTTAGTTCAATATTTCCCGCGAAGGAATATCATACATTTATTTGACGTTCCTTTATTTAGGTATTTGCATTACATTTAGCATGTTAAAACTAGTGCAATAAAAATCTCTTACAGAAATCCAATTTAATATTGACCAATTTATAATATCCAAAATAAGTGATTAATCATTACCTTCTAGTATTAAATTTCTGTAAGGATTTCTAAAATTCTCAGAAATTTTTTTTTGTATTATTTAATGCAATATCTTCTGTGAAGGGATATTATACATTACGCGAAGAGACTTTTTCCTTATTTCGTACACTCAATTACTGCAATATCATATAATATTGTAATCATGATTGATACCAAAGCATGTTAACTAGTCCAATAAAAATGTTTCTAAGATTTTTGAAAACTCTCTTTGTATTATTTAGTGCAACATTTGAACATTATACTAATTTAGATTGTTAACGATATACAGAGCGTAGCAAAATTATACGGGTAAGCTTTATTGTTGAAGTTTTCTCGGTGACTTCGAAAGTAGAAAACTTTCATTTATAAGAAAAACGTTTTAGTTTAAAGATACAGTACTTTAAAGAGCTTTTTGAAACTACGAACCGATGGTTTGTTTTAAAGATACAGTAAATTAAACGCGATAGTTAAATTGGGGTACCTGTTGATAGGCAATCATAAGCTACAATCATAAGCTATTAATGGCTACATTTAGAAAAAGAAACTTTGTAACTGTTGTAAGATTTCTTTATTATGATTGATTTATATTTTTAGATCTAGTGAGAAACTAAGAACAAGATCAATCATATTAAAGAATTTTACAACAATTGCAAAGCTGCTTTTTCCGCTGAACGCAGCCAATGATTTATTACTTGCAAAATGACAATTGATGAAAGTAACGCATAGGAAAATATAATATCTTTATACATCCCTAAAATATATATTGATATATATAATTTTGCTATATTTTATATATTATAATTATATTATCAGCAGAAAGTATTTTAATGCAATATATTTAAATAATATTAAAATTAGTTATTAAAATAAAAAATTCACCACAAAGAATATCTTTGGTATTTCGATTGAAAATATTTTTATAATTTCAAACCTATCTTTCCAACATATGCGGACTATATTTTGTCAAGACATCGACGAAAATTGTTCACAACTTGCTGAAGATGATTTGAAGAAAAACCGAAACGTCCAAGAGAGTTGTATCGACACTCACGGTAGATCAATATATTATGTAAATATCACTCGAATTTTCGTTATATAATTTGTGCATCAATTTCCGCGCTGTATTAACGCTCTCATTGCCCGTATACTTTATATTATAGTATTTTTTTATAATTTCATTTCAATTATATTTTATGTCGTCCGTGACCGTTTTGTGATATTATAAAAAAGTAAGACCGACGTCTTTTGTTGGAGAAACGCCGAGTACAGCAGCATCCGGAACAGCAGAGAGGAAGTCCGCGGTAAGGTAAGAAGGATAAAGAAGTTCAAGTAAAATAAACAACGCAAAGGGCCTTTTGTGTAAACCTAATACTAAAATAATATATCCCACACGGCGACAAATCGACCGGCACTAAACGTATCGCTTGACATATCTACAACAACATACATGGGAAATTTATAAACGAAAAATGATGGTCTCTTTACCATTTTCTGACTATCCTTAAAAATTTCTACCACACTATTTTCGGCCGCCATATGTCCGAGACATACAGATACGCTGCTGCTTGAAACGATAAAAGCAATCGAGGAAGATCAGCTCATAATAAATTGAATTGTTACAGTGAAATTGTTTCAATTTATCATTGAAAATTTAAATTAAAAAAGGAACTTTAAAAACATATGATATTCAAGAGAAATGAAAGCTGTTTAATCAAATATATAGATAAAAAAATTAATTTCGTCATGATAGAAACGATATTTTGCTTGGTAATACAAATAAATTGTTTTATGGATTTATATGATTTTTTAGATAAACATGAATCTCGATTTATCTCTTTCAATTTACAAATTAAAAAAATCAAGGCTTTAGAAGCGCACGGTATTCATTAAGAGAAATAAAAATTGTTTAATCAACGTAGCTCGAAAAATAAATCTCGTTAAGATAAAAAAGATATTCTGTTTTAATAATATAAATAATTTACATTTTTCAACATAGGGATTTTTGTTTGTTTTTTAGATTTTAAATCGACTCTAACCATCATTTTATATATTAAAAAAAGTTGAAGATTTTGAATACATAAAAAACATAGGTCGAAAAATAAATCTCGTTAGAATAGAAATGATGTTCTTAGTTTGACATGGTGCTTATATTTCTGTATGAATTAATTTCTTTTTTTTTTTAAACAAAAAGGGATATTTCGGAGCTTTTTACAAAAAATCGATTTTTTGTTGCGAATCGATTCGGAGATCGCACATCCCTAAATGTAGACGCGAAAGTAGAAAATCTATCGCTAAAGAGGTCAGAATAAATAGAATATCACGAAAGTCATCTGACGCACAACGAACCTTATTCGTCCAAACACGATTTCGGAATAAATGTCTCGAAAGGTGAGAGTCGACGAGCCGAGAGGCGGCTCGAAGGCACGATCAAGCGTCGCGATTTCGAGGCGTCGGCGTCGCGGCGAAATTTCCAGGAAGCCAAGTCGTTTCGCGCCTTTCGTAACTGCGCACGTGTGACGCCGATCTCACCGCGAGGCGTCGCGCGGCAGTTTTAGCGACGCACACCGACGCACACATCCGGCGTGCGACTTATCGTAGAATTTAGATTGGATTAGTACCGAGTACAACGGAGCAGAGCGGAGTCAGCGGAGTGGGAGGTCCAGTCCAGTTTGTCCAGTGCCAGACTGTCCGGCCCTGACGCGAGACGTCAATCGATCCACGTTGTGTCGTTTCGTACATGGTATACGTCGCGTGATTTCATGATGTAGCACCAGGCGAGTGATTCCCGGAGAGTAGGAAGAAAGATCGTCGCAGCTGACTCGGTAATCCAAACGTCTAATCGAAGTCTAATCAAAACGTTGTGTTGCGAGACGATCGTCTTCTGCGAAAGAGAGAGCGAGAGAGAGAGAGTGTGTGTATGTGTGTGAGAGAGTGAGAGAGAGAGAGAGAGAGAGTTCTCCGCCTTCGTTGGTTATCCCAGGCAATCTTAGGATTTCCCGTTGATCCCGTGTTCCTGACGTCGTCGCGCGCGTGCACGCGGAGTCAAGGTACACATTACACGCTCCGGGACCCGGGGAGACGGAGTGCGTGGAGCCCTCGCGGGGCCAGGTGACGAAGCGCGAATCATCGACGCAGCGTCAAGATGGCGTGTGCCACAATCACAGCTGTTGTTTACCCACAAACCCGTGTGGAGCGGATCACTGGCTACTGCTGCCGCGGCTGCTGCTGCTGCTGAGAGAGGACAAGCGCGGCCTGGGCTCCCCGTCGTCGGAACTGGTCGGGGACGATGGGAGATTGTCGACGAATGAGCAGGTCAGAGTAACTCGTTGCGCGAGCGACGTGACGACGACGTGACGAGAACGTGACAGCGACGACAGTTGACGACAACAACGACGGCGGCGGCGGCGGTGGTGGTGGAGGTGGTGGAGGCGGCGACGGCGGAGTTGGTGACAGTGCTGGTGGCAGCGGCGACGGCGGCCGTGGTGGTGGTGATAGTGGTTGTATTGTTGTTGTTGCTGGTGGTGGTGGTGGTGCGTCGAGAAAAGAACGGGACGCGCGAAAACGGACTCGATGGAAGAGGGTAGCGGTATCCACCGCGCCGGCAGAAGTCACCAGAAGAACAACGCGTGAAACTTAACCTAGTTTCGTCCGCCATCGCACGGCACGAGAACGGCGACGAGGACGACGACGGTGAGGCGGAGCGATCTCGAGAGGGTGGCCTCGATACCAAGGGAAAAGAGCGACAAAGTTAGTTCGCGCCTTCGGCGATAAGTGTGTTATTTTCCTAGTTAGAACACGGCTCTTCTCCTCCTTTCGCCCGTTTCTTTCGTCCTGAGGCCTCGTTACGTAAAAAGCGCGAACGAGAAGAGCACAATCAGTCGCAAGACCGACGTCGTCGTGTCGGTCCCTGCTTTTCTTTCACGTTCCGAGCTCATTTTGGAATTTCATTCATCGCCCACGTGCGTCGATGCATCGTGCATGCTTCCGTTCGCTAGATTCATTGTGGATTTGAGGTTAGGCTTGCTGGCTTGCATGATTGTAACGGTCTGATTGATGAAAATTGCCGTGTTCTTTAAATTAATGATGACTTGACAGACACGTATCTCGGATCTTTGTCAAAAGAGTTAACCTTTCACTGTTTCTTTTCTTTTGTTTCCCTTTGTTATGATAAGAGTTCTATGAGTCATTTCTTTGCACCTCTATTCATCTGTGCGAAATAGAAATTTAAAAGGAGTATAGAATTTAAAAGAAGCCACACTTTTTCATGCAAAGTCTTGTTTAAAATATTTAAAATATTTACGGTAACAATGTTGGTTTCTATGCTCCTTTTATTTATTGTTCTTGGAATTATTCTATCGACTGTATCATAAAATATTTGATGATGATAATAGAACATTTTGATTTAGTATATAATTTAATTCTGTAACCTTTTCATCACTTTTACAGACATATAGACAATTTTTTATTTTTTTATTTCTTATTTTTCATGTATTTTATTTAATAAACACATTGTTAGAAATTGTTGGCATGATAATTGTTCCGCAGGTATCACCATGAATGCTAGGACACAGCTGTTCGAATTGAGCATGGAGGGACGTCAGGTGGACGAAGCAGTGGCAAGTATATTCCACAGCGTGCTATTTCATCGGAGCCTTGGCAAATTCAAGTACAAACAGGAAGGCAGCTACTCGGTGGGCACTGTAGGATACCAAGACGTGGACTGCGACTTCATTGATTTCACTTACGTCTGCTGCTCGTCGGTGCACCTCGATCAGACGCTGAAGCGTGAGATATCGGGTTTCTCGGAGGCGCTGCGCTCCACCGACAGTCCAGGTTCTGGTCAGATATCCCTAGAATTCTTCCAGAGGAAAAAGAGTCGCTGGCCGTTTCAACCGGAATGCATACCATGGGAAGTGTGGACTGTGCGCCTTGAACTTATCAAATTGGCCACCGAGCACGAACGGCAGATATGTCGGGAAAAGGTGGGCGATCTGCTGACCGACAAGATCCTTTACATCACCGAGGTCATGAATCGGCACGATTACATTCCAAAAGTGCCAAGTCAGGCCGAATTGGATCTGATCTTCGATACCTCGTACCCGGACATACAACCGTATCTCTTCAAATTGTCTTTCACGACTTCTAGTCCGTCGACCACTACGATGGGCAACACTATGAAGAAATTGATTAGAGAGACGCTATCCATTTAGTCGTTATAATGTATAGTGTAAACTCTTCACGTTAGTTGCATTCGTTTAGCTTGTCAGAGTCATCAAAACGCAAAATCTTATACTTTCCTTTTTTCATCTATAATGCACAAATTTCTGCATTGCACCAAACAATTTTTCGTATCCACAATGACTCTAACCTGCCACCGTAGCTATTAATATGAGTTCCAAGAAAAATACTAAATTTGCATTATAAAGAAAGCAGAATGGTTTCGAATCTTCGACCACTCGTTCCCGGCGGAAATTACCAAAGGTACTCGGAGAGTACTTTGCCTACGTGGTAGACTCCGCTGGATTTTGTAAGCTCCGTAATAGTAGTATCTCTTATAACGAAAATAATATTTCGTATACATTGCAGGGACTTCCACTGCTCTGTATCTCTAATGTCTCTATATAGTACAAATGAAACACAACACTGTGACACTTGCTTCTTTTGTACTTTACTATGAACGTCCGTCGCATAATTTTAGCAGGATCACATTTAGTCACGTTTTATACAATAATATTTTATCTCCTAACTCTCACCACTTAAACCTCCACAGATGATCGCTGTGGCAGAACGACATTATGTTCCTCTTCTCGCTTCTCATCCTTTTCAAATGCTGTGTATATCGTAGAATAGATACAAACGTAATTTCCTTTAGTAGACAAAGAATTTTCATGCGTCACACAGAGAAGATAATTTGATTTTAGAGTAAGAATACAGAGATTTCGAGTCTATAGAAGAGCAGGATGTCTTCAGATTCTTTAATGTCTAGTAGAATCTTTGAGAATACTGAATCTTAAAGATAACTCGTAACTTGCTCCTTGATAAACTCCTCCGACTACACGACACAGCCACTAACATTGAAAGTATGTATAGCTATCCTAAACTCTTTGACGATCACAGAACGCTTGGAATATTTCACAAATGTATAACGCGTAGCATATACACGGTAGTGCATACACGTGTGTTTGCATACAAAGCTGCTATTATTTTTATCGTGAATTTAACGCTGAACATCCGATCGTGTTCAATATTGGATTTAATATTAGGAAGTTGCATAACGACCGGGTCAGAATTAGCGTTAAATGTGCGGAAGAGCAGAGTGTTTATTGTAATTATGTGTATGCATGGAAGCGATTGTTATTTATTTTCACGAATGATGATACGTGACATAACGCTAGAGGCGTTATGTGTATGCAGATTAGCAAATATAATTATTTACATATTGCTCTTTTTTTTTCTTCGTTGATCTTAAGTTGTAATAATCAAATTGTAAAATAAGTTGATATATCATTAAGCCAACGCGACGCCCGCAATAACGAAGCGCACCGGGTGATACGAAAGAACCGTACGAAAAATCGCCGTCACGATTACATTTTCCCAGACGTTTCGTGCCTTCGTATCGAATTTTTTATAGGGAAATTAATATGCTAGGGACTAACATATACCAGATGATAGTGTCACTATTATTTATTGAGCTCGAAGTATCTCTCCTCATCTCGTAAAAGTGGAATAGTCTCTCTCTCTCGCGCGCGCAGAAAACAAATCTGTGATCCTTCTCGGATTCGAGACGGTTTTGTTCTATTCCTCATAAGCGACAAATGTGTGCCGTTAACGTCGTGTCGTTTTAGGATTTTCAAGCAAGATGGAAGGCGCAACGGCGGATGTTCGGAATGATTCGCGGTCGGCGGTGTGACCCGCGCGCGATTATACTTATTATATTATACAATGTAAATAGCGTTTGAAGAATATTGCCGTAAATCAAATCGTGTCGTGCCGAGGGGTCCCCGTGCGTTCCGAGATCCGCTCTTTGGCCTTACCTATGACCAATCAACAAAGATATCACGACGCATTAGTAGTGCACATACTTTACGAATTAACCGTAGACGAGAAGCGTAATGTTAATTTAAGGATTAATCATGTATCGTCCCTACCGCTTTTCTTTTTCTGCCAACGTTCTCCAAGTAGTTTAATATGTAATTGCGATTTTAGCTGAATGTTCCGTAACTCGAGCGTACGTCGATTGGATGTATCCTGTTAGGAGTGTCTTTTTTTCTCTTGTATCGATTAAAGAAAGGAAAAAAGAAAGGAAACCACGGTGGTCGTCGACAGTCCGTCGCTCTCTCTGCGATTCCGTGTAGAAAATCGACCGCAATCTCTTTCCCACCCTCGCACTATCTTGGCTTTTACTTTTTACAATTATATGATGCACGATATATTGTAAAAGGTGAAAAGAAGTCGCGGTATGGAGCCGCGATATAATATTATGACAAAGAAATGTGCGTATACGTGCGCAATATATATATAAATATGATATATAGAAAGAATAAAGAAAGAGAGAGGGAGAGAAAGGAGCGAAAGAGCGAGCGAATGGCCACGTGTGCATGTGTAACTAGATTTCTGCGAGTTTGTCAAATTGCCACACGCTGTTATAAATAAATGAAATTATAAATATATAAATAATATATATATATATAAATAGCAAAAAAGATAAAACCGAGACCTGTATATTATAAGCTGCGACAAATGTGACAAAACGTGTAGTGTATAGTGAAGAAGATGAAATATCTGCAAGTTTTAATTTATCATGATGAGTACGCTGACGATAAATGATTAATTATTAATAAATTACTGTATTTTATAATCGCACTATTTTTTTATGAAAACATCCATGTCTCTTATTTATCCACGTAACCTTTGATTCATCTCTATCACGCAGTTAAATATGTGATGTAATTTGTAGCTTAAGTTCATATATACAGTACTCCGAAAACATTAAAAAATGCTTTGTGCTTTTGTAAATTGTAAATAGTTGCAAATAATCTTTTCTGTCATACATTGATTAAGAACATCCCTTTACAGAAATTTAATATTGAAAAATAGTGATTAATAATTTATTTTGAGTATTAGAAATATTATTGTTCAGTGCTTTTAATACTCAAAATAAATAATTTTCAGTATTAAATTGGATTTCTATAAGGGACAAAGTAGATATTGCGTCACTATATTTATTGTTATATTATGAATTACGAAATAAGAATATATTACGTGTACTGTATTTACAAAGAGAAAAACGCCAATAAGAGTCAGTACCGAGTGGTAGCGTATAAATTATTCATTAAGAAAGTGAAAGATAATCATTATTCTTTTAAATTTATTAGATTTATTCATCAGAGCCGATAATCTTAATTGCTTACTATTATTATATTTACGTTTCTTAAATATCTAAATTATACTCGTACAATTACCTCTCCGTTTATTGACATTTTACTTGCAATATTTATTCACTAATCCTAAAAATCGCCTTTATCTCTTTACGAGGAATAAAAAAAGGTCATATATCACTAATTCTATTAAAAAATACATTTTATCTCAAATTTAATTATCGACGCAAAGTTCAATTAGTTGAATGATATATGTCATATGATAAAGCGCGCAGCTTCATCGTTCCGTCGCGTGCTGCATTCTAACGGATGACCAGCGAATTTTTTCAGCCAGCGCTCGCTCGGCATTGCAGCGAAATTTAAAAGCCACGGATTCCCGATCTTCCCGATTGTCAATTCAATGGCGGTACATATGAAATACGGGTATTGTACGACTTCTTATTCCCAACATTCCAATCGACGTTTCTTTGCCGTGGGCATAAAACCCCGTATTTCTCTGTCATCTCGGATCGAATGTGAAATAGTTGGCATATCTCGCGACAGGAATCCGCGCATCATTCAAATGAGCATATCCGAGTCAAAGAATTTTTATAAGCAATAAGATGCAAACGGGAAATCTCTCTTCACCCGTGCAAATTTGCCGCTCTTTGTTCTCTCCTCGCCCCAAAACTGAATTCACACCAGTGGACCTTTGCGCGAAGAATATATATTCATTTCGACTTTATTACCTAGATTCCGGAAAACGCTTCTGGACCTGCGAGAATCTCAAGTATTTTGGCCGCCACCTTGACATAGCTCTCGATTACACGTGGCACGAAATAGATCGTGATAAATCACGAAAACATAATGATTCTATGCGGAAGAAATATTTTACTTTTGACTTAACTGGCCGCGATTTACTAAAATTAACGAGAGTGTTTTCCATTTAGGCCCGGTTCCATTAATTTTATTATTATTAATTTTAATCTCGGTTTTTTAAGTTCAACTTACTCTTTATCTTTTTTTAATTTTACAAGTTAGAATTTATGCCCATTTCTATCAATGTAGATTAAATTCTTTCCGGATCAATTTGCTAAAAATCGATTTTTTGCAAAAAGATTACTTCGAAATAGTTAAAAAGAATTAAAGTGATTCTAAAAAAAAAATCGGTTTAAAAATCAGTTTTAGAAAAATAAATTTTTCGTAAAAAAAAAAATAGATCGGAAACTTAAAATCGCTATTGTCGTTTGGAAAGACCGATCTTTTAGAGATCGGAATATTCCTAATACAACTTGCTTTTCGTCTTTTTTAATTCTTAAGAAAAAAGAAGAGTTAGTTGAACCGAGATTAAAATGAAACTATATTTATAGAAACTAGAACGAGCATAAGTGATATAAGTAGACACAAGTGTTCTATTTTTATTACAACTTTTGATGAGTAACAAAGACAGAATGACATTTGTGTCGATTTGTGCCGAATGGAAAACAGCGAAACAGTAACAAGAAAGCGGAAATACGCCGAGAAAAAGAGACTTAAGTTTCTACACATTACCTTCCAGTTCGCTTAAATTAATAGCTGTTAATGAGCTGCATTTTGTAGTTTTTGCTTCCATCTTGGTTCTCCATTCCAAGTGGAACAAAAAAATGATTTATTTATATTTATTATTATTGTCATACATAATGACAATAATAATAATAAATGTAAGAGCGAGTAATTTTACAAAAATTCTTGTAATAGTATTTCTGTTCTTTCACCTATTAATTTAGCCTACTAGACTATTCAGATACAATTCTAAAATTCACTTTAATTTATTAATAAATTGTTATACAGAAATAGAAGAATAATCCTCTTTGAAGATATTCCAAGTAAAGTCATTTGTATAAAATTTCAAAAATTCATCGTTTTATTTGAGTAAAATCATCAGTTATTTGAAAGATCTTTTTAAAACTAAAAGAAGCTTTGAAATGAAAGATAATAACGTTATTTAAATGGTATATGTGCCATTTTCTTGCTCATAAGGGAGATGTAAAATGGACCAAAATATTACGCGCGCTCTAGAAAATATGGAAGTGGATTTAACATCATGCTGACGTTTATACATACTCGTATAATTCTCATCATTTTGGTGTAGATATAAAACATTAAAATTTAACACCACATAATGTTAAATTCACATCATTCCAAAGAACACACCAAGTCAAGAGAAAGTCAAAATGTTTTTATTTTGACGTCATGACAATCAAAATGATGATTTTTTGTTACAAAATTTGATTGATGTTAAAAACGTAAGAATTATATTTAATACCTATAACGATATTAAATTTTTACATAATTTTAGAGTGAGGGGGAAGAAAATGTACATCCTTTTGCGACATACCTACGTTCCGCTCAATATTTAAAATTATCGGTACAATACTTTATCTAATGGACGTTCTGGGACCATTCTATAGACATCTCATCTAAACATTTTTAGTATGTCCTTTGAAAGTTTTACTGCGTGGGTAAATATCGACATTATCAAATACTCTATTATAAATATATCTCTGCATCTACAGATAGGTACATCGTGATAGGTGCATCACATGCGATCATACGCCTGCGCGCGAAGCCGCCCTCGGTTTCCCTGAAGGCTGAAAGCCGATTTTCTCTCGTCTCAGTCGCGGACAGGGAAGCAGCGCGCGTACATAGTCGCGGCGTCGCGACGTTTCGTGGTGATCGCGTTAGTATGAGAGCGTCGAGCGAGCACGACAGATTATCGTCTCGGGATCGTGGTCCCGGCATCCTCGATGAGTCGCGAGAATCATTGTACAGCTGGACCACGCGTTGAACATCCCGCGAGGGAAATCGAGTATAATAGAGACACGTGTGCTTCTCACGACGTATCGCGATTTTCCACGCGTGTCGAAAAAAGAAGATAAGAGATAGATAAATGGATTGATAACGAAATTCGTGAGGAGAAGTGCTCGGATAGCCTAGATTATAGACGATGCTCAAACGTACTCGCGTGTAACAAATGCTCCACCGTGACCCATATAGTACACTTTATCTCAGAGATCTTCCTGAGAAGGGATGTTAAGACGTTCGTAGGGGATGTCCTTCAGAACGTCCCTTAGAGATCTGTGCTATATGGGGAAGAATGATGAGCGTGTTACGAATGAAACTGCAATGAATTATAAGAGAGGAACAACCGCGTAGAGAGTCTGAGTGCGCGTTTGTGAGTGTATGTGAGATTGGTTTTCATATTTTTCCGCGTGCGTGTCTTCATTTTCTCGTTTCATGGATCCCCTCGAGGATGCACGAGCTTCAGTAGTAATACCAGCCTAAATCTCCTACGTAATCATGTCCGCGCAAGAAATCCGCGCGGCATCACATAGATTCTAAGAACTTTATTCCGTATCAACTCGACGAAACTTGGTGAACCATCGTCCCCGTCGCGTAATAGAAGAAATTGCCGCGATTTTCCAACGCGGACTCTTCAACAGGTGGCCGAAATCGATGTCGCACGTGTACAAGCGTACGTGATCTTTCACGGCACATCACTTTTCACGATACCCTTTTCTTTTTACTTTCTTTGTTTATTGTTTTTTTTTGTTTAATCTTCTTGGACCCTCTAAGCTGTAGATATGAAAGTGAGAAGTAAAGTTGGGAAGAGAGAAGAGAGTTTTAAAGAGATCTGTTCAAATGCTTTCGGAGCACTCTTCTTTTGCACATAACTCTTTTGGAGTTATCTCTCCTTTTTTACTAACTTTTTAGTAAAAAACGTGGTAGTTAATTGCAAGATTATTATAAAAATTAAATTATCATTTTTTAGTTTTATCATTAATTAAAATTTTATATTATTATATAATATAAAAAATAAAAGTAAAAGTTTACGTTATTACACATAATAAACTTGCTATCTAATTATTAAATTACAGAGAGATAATATAATAACTGAGAGATATAATATAACTAAAAAATTTTTAATATTTGATAAATCGACAAGGAGTTATTTGATTATTAACAAACTGAAGCTATATACAAATAAATATAGAAATGCAAAATTACGATATATCATAAATACATCGTAATTATGATATATCGTTATATTGTATTATACTTAAGGTTTAAGTATATATGTATACTTAAATCTATATTTAAAAAATTATGTTCTTATTTATTGAAGTACAAGATACAATAAAATTTAACAATTATCAATGGATTTACTAACTCATGCTACATTAATCGCTCAATAATTTATGTTTAAAGTAGACGTTTTAACAAATGCTACTTATTCTCTAAGCCTCCCGTAATAATTTCTCGATACTCTCTCGGCTAGTTCACATCGAATTCATCAAAATATTTACCATAGCCGCTAAAATCGGTGTCCATCAACGGTGTAGCACGTAACGCGATTCCATTAATCTTCAATTAATACGCATCGCGTATCTAACGAGTGGAAAATTGTTTTCGCTCAGTGTAATTTACGACCCCTTAGCCGCGCGTAAGCAAATCCGCACGAAGTAGCCATTAAAAAATATCAATAAAATCGACAAAATTATTATTCAACATCTAAGAAGAAAAAATGAGAAAGAAAAAAGAGAACGCAAAGCTGTGTCATCAGAAGATACTAACGTCTCTATTTTCGACTCTTAATGACATCTTAATGACAAAACAATCTTGAGGAGTGCTGGATGCTAACGAGTTCTATCAAGCTTTTTAAATAGCCTGCCCCTCTCTCTCTCTCTCTCTCTCTCTCTCTCTCTTCACTTTCAAGACTCATGAAGCACGACGTGGCCGGTATTGTCGACCGTTCGAAACTTTCCGAAATGCTTGTTTGACGGCAATGACGACACCACCAAACTTTGTTGATGGTTTCGCCCACACCGACCAGGTCATAATCGGTGCTCCTAATTGCTCTCTATGTCTTGTTTCAGCGAGAGGAACGACCGTCGTTTCCCAGAGAGTTTGAAAGTTTTGTCGCGAAACATTAATTGCTTGACTGTCACCGCCATTCGCTCCGAGTATAACGTGAACGCCCAACGAATTGATGTGTAATCGACGTTTCTATTAATATATCGACAAGCATATAATATTCACATACCGTATCTCTAATAGTCGAAGAAATTTTTAATATAAATAACTCTGGACGATTAAGTATTTCTCCGTTGTGCATTGTCAACAGCGTAAAGCTTATATTATAATTTATGAATAAGAGTGAAATATACAACGATCCTTTGACTTTTTAGTGGTATTCCCGCTTGTCTGACTGTACCCTGGTCTTTAATTAAACATTTATTCATTGCTACCTTGTGAATTAATGAACAAGACAATTGGTGTTACTTCTAAATTCATCATCATTTATTTACGACGTTCGCTACTTTCTGTTTCAACGTGAATTCTGTTTGAAAGACGGTATTGTCGTGAGAATGCAAAAAGAAGATACTTAATTTAAAAACACGGAAGAAGAGGATTTCAAGATTCTATAATTAACGTGATATAAAGAGTAATTAAATATTCGATAAGAGATAATGACAAAAGCACGGTATACTCCTCATTAATCTATCTTTAAACTGTCAGAGAATTAAACTTAAATTAAATCGTGCTTAAAGGATTATCTCGGCAGAAGTCAAGCAAGAGTTGCAAAGCTTGTACACACGTCGAGTGTAATCGATGCCTTTAAACAGTTTGCCCTGCAAGGATACCGCGGCATGAAATTCGAGTTAATCTGCTTATCTGAGGCTATAACTCGCTTATCAGAACCCCCCGACGCCTGAACATCCATCGCGCGGGATAACAGCAGTGCTGTTAACGTTAATAGCCGAGGAGCTCCATGAGAAATTAATTCACTTCTCGAAATCGACGAAGTACACTTCGTTCTCTTCCGGATAATTCCCACCTCGCCGAATCGCATTACCGGATCGATCTCTTCCACCTCGCATTCGTTCTGGGAGATGGGCCATTAGCGAATTCATCCGCGTCAGCGTATCACTGACGCATGATCGATTCGTCGAGATAACAAAGAAAAAAGGAAGGAAAAGGAGGAAGAGGAAGAGTGTAACGCGACTGACCTAGTACTCTTCGAGATGTATCATGAATAACGGTACAGCGCAAATAACGTCAGCATCGTCGGTAATAATGGTCACCATGCAGAACTTGTCAGCGCACAACTATACCTACGTGTCGGAGGACATAACGTCGAACTTGACGGTGCAAATAATATTCTGCTTGTTCTACATCATTATCTTCGTCCTGGGCATATTCGGTAACGTACTGGTAGTCTTCGTCGTCGGTCGAAACCGCCAGATGCACACCGTCACCAATCTCTTCATCACGAATCTCGCGCTCAGCGATGTGCTGCTATGCGTACTGGCCGTACCCTTCACTCCTCTGTACACCTTTTTGAGCGGTTGGATCTTCGGTAAGACCCTCTGCCACCTGGTGCCCTACTCCCAGGGCGTCAGCGTGTACATCAGCACGCTCACGCTGACAAGCATAGCCGTCGATCGATTCTTAGTGATTATCTATCCGTTCCATCCGCGCATGAAGATTAAGATGTGCTTAGCGATCATCGTGAGTATCTGGGTGATCGCGTTGTTACTTACCTTGCCATATGGGCTTTACATGCAGCTAGAGGAGACGTATATCTCTTTCTGCGAGGAGAATTGGCCCAGTGAGCCATTTCGCAAAGTCTTCAGTTCGCTCACATCGATACTGCAATTTGTCGTGCCGTTCTTTGTAATCTCCTTTTGCTACATATGCGTGTCGATTAAGCTGAACGATCGGGCGCGTGCTAAACCCGGTACCAAGACCAGCAAGCGTGAAGAAGCGGATCGCGAGAGGAAACGCCGAACTAATCGGATGCTGATCGCCATGGTTGCCATATTCGGTGTATCCTGGTTGCCGCTCAATATTGTCAACGTCGTCGATGATTTCTACTCGTACGCCAACGACTGGTCCTACTACAGACTCTGCTTTTTTATGTCGCACTGCATCGCCATGAGCAGCACCTGCTACAATCCGTTCCTCTACGCCTGGCTCAACGACAACTTCCGCAAGGAATTTAAGCAGGTGTGTATATGCAATGAGTTTGTTAGTACAGCTTTTATTTTTCTGATCACGAAGATTAAGGCTAAATCAGATATATAAGAATTAAGATCCGACTGTATAAATGTACAATATACATACGTTCGAGAGCGCCAATAAGCGATCAAAATTTCGGCGCACAGTCACATCTGAGATAGTTAAAAATTTAAAAAGTTAAGAATATATATTATATTCATAACATCTCTAACTTTGACCGCTTATTGGCGCTCTCAAACGTATGTATGTTATAAATTAGATATGAATAGATTTTAAATAATAATTGAGTATCAAATCAAGATTTCTGGAAATACAGGAAATCTGGATTTTGCGAAGCTTGTATCGGAAAAAATCTGCCTATTTCGCTGCTTTCCATTCATCTGCGAGATATACACGAGCAAGTAGATCATTTTTAATGCAGTCGGAGCGCACATATATGTATTACTTCTATACAGGGTGAATCATAAACGTTTTAAAATTTTATGAGCGTGTTCGTGCAAAGGAAGAACAAATGTATCCATGAGCGTTAGATCATAAATGCTTCGTTATCGAAATAATGGGTACAATACAAATACAGTATCAAATAATAACTTTATTTAAAAGTTTCACGTGGATATTTTTGTTGTTTGCACATACAAGCACGTATAATAATTTATGTAACAGTTTTTTCTAAGGAGCACGCATAATTTTTTACCTTTTTTTAAAAACATAAATTTGTTATGATTTTCTGCACACGAAAGAAATAATTTTTTTGTGTGATTTAACTCAATCATTATTTCACATTTATTCGTATTCATTATTTCAACGACAAAGCATTTGTAACCTAAAGTTTATAGAAACATTTATTCTTTCTTTTAATATAAAAACACACGAAATTTTAAAACATATTTATGACTCACCCTGTATACTTACGTACTAAAATCCACCTTCACGAAATCGTACAACTACAGAAATGATGCGTTAAAAATTGTATCTCTCGACGTTTTCGAAGTAAGTGAATTCTCGAAAACGCAAAGCTCTCAATAATTTAAATTTCTACTTAAAAATTTTCCAGCTTTTTAAATTTCTACTTAGGTAAAGAAATTAGGCAATACTTTTATGAAAAAAAAAATAATATTAAAGATTGTTGCATGTAAAATTCGTTCCAGCGTGTTTTACATAATATATCTTTTTTTTAGTAACGAATACTATGATTTTACATCGCTTTATATGATTTTACGCCATACATTTAATGCATTTAGAACTACCTACATGCAATTTCTAAGGAGCGTGCAAGGATGCACTTCAAGTAATTAGGGCACAGAACTGTTTACGTCCTAGGAGCAAGAATCTGATGTGTTATGTTCTTAATTGCAACACGTTGAAGGAGAAACTAGAATTCTATCGCGCCGAAATTAATTTGCAGCAGAGCTATTTCTTCTCTTCGAGTTCTATATATTCGTGAAATGATGAAACGTGTTTAGGACATCAATGCGCACCAGTAAGACAGTCGCGTATAAACGAGATGCATAAACGTGTTTTGTCGGATGTCTATTGAATGCAACTTGCATTGAATAAGGGTATTCAATCGATTCAAAGATGCCAGTATTGGTGGTTTCGAGCATGGTCGGGACAAACCGAGAGGTTTGCCGAAGCAAGAATTTATGGTAAAAGAATGACTTTTGCGCTCTTTTTTCTCGCGAAAAGACTTTCCTTCAGCTACTTGCGAATTTATAAAATAGAAAAAGATTTACACGCGATATGGACGTTTTATACTTTGTGGTATTTTCTCGTTTTCTGATATTCTATCGGAAAATATGTGTCGGATTTTGCATGACGTTCGTTTCTGTTATTTCTTCTTTCTACATTTTCATTGTATTGCTCTTTCCATTTATTTTTCTCTTTGTACATTTATTTTGTTATAGAAATAGGAACGGAAAAGATAGATCGATCACATCACTTGATGTGATCGATTGCTTATTGTAACATTCACCTTGTTATAAACATTCAGTAATTAAAAGAAATTAATGAATTTGATTTTGCAACGTAATTCCGTTCATGGAAAATGCTTTGATATTAATGAGACTTGAGTATCGCGCGAAAGTCGAGTCATGAGCATTTTCTTCGCGCTCGTCAAGTTTGATTAATTTTTCTCGATCTGTATTGAATTAATTTTTAATTATCCACATCTTCTACAACTTGATTACGCCCTTTCATCAATTTCCGACCTTAAGTTTCGCAATAATAAAATGTGGTTAACGATTGTCTCATAACAGCGCTCTCATAAACTGCAATTACGGAATCGATATTAATAATTTCGTTTAGATAAAATTAATTTAAATGCACCACACCTTGAGGAATATCGCTACTAAAGGATATCATATAAAATCAAATATCGCTCTCATATATAGTTGAGTCAATGAAATCATAACAAAAAACTAAACTAACTTTTAAGAAATATTATTTCAATTACTTTAGACCGGACTACGTGTCTTTTATAGATTTTTGGATGCTGAAAACGATGCCGCAAGCGAAAAAATTCTACCTCATCAAATTTCCAAGATAATTGAGGTTTAATATAAAAATGTTTTTTTGGCGATATTTTACATTTTTTTATATATAAACGAAAATTAATCCACATACACACATGACGCTGCCGGAGTCCTTATATTCGAAATAGCTCCTATCTTTAATCCTTCATAACATGGCTAAAAAGTAAGGCATTGAAATAAAAAAAATGCATTTTAGAGGGGATGAACAATACATTCATGATTTCTGATCAAAATTTCAAGATAATGTTCACCTGCTTTATAAAAAAATGTCAAATATCGCAAAAAAACCATTTTTTACATATTAAATCTCAGTTATTTTGGAAATCTGACGTGCTAAAATTTTTTCGCTTGCGGCATCGTTTTCAGCATCCAAAAATCTATAAGACACACGTAGTCCAGTCCAAAATAATTTTTTGCTGTAAACTAGTGTAATATATTTGCCTGATTTAACATAAATGTGTGAATATATAAACATATATAAGTCGTTTATAACATAATATTATAAATAGTGACATAAATTAGTCTAAATCCAACTTGGCATAATCTTTACAGAAATCTAATACTATAGTCAATTTAATACTAGTTAAAATACTGAAAGACAGTAATTAATTACTTATTTTAAATATTAAAAGCATTGTTGTTCGGTGCTTTTAGTACTCCAAATAAGTAATTAATTACCTACTTTCAATATTAAATTGGCCAATATTAAATTAGTCAGTATTATATAAGGGAAATAATAACAAATCGTGTACGTTACAAGAAAATGCATGTCATTTATTAAATACTGAGAGAGAAAGAGAAAGAGAGAAACAGAGAGAGAGAGAGAGAGAGAGAGAGAGAGAGAGAGAAAGAAAGAGAGTAAAATCTCGTATTATTAACTAAAAAATTAACTCGCAAAATAAATTTTTATAGGTTTTGCCGTGTTATTCAAGAAACTCCAACAGTAACACTCCGAGAATCAAGAAGAACTGCAGGGGCGAGAAGATATGTAACGGTAATAACACCCTGCAAGAGACCTTATTGCCCAGTAATATGAAAATGCAGACTCCCGAGGGATGCGAGATGATCATTCTGGAGCAGACGACAAACATCTCAAAGGAGTTGGATCAGCCTACGAGTTCCTCAAAGGATTTCGACGACGCGACTCTGTGAGAAAAAGGTGCGCAAATACATTTCGTTATATAAAGCTGCTAGACATGTCAAATGGGGAAAACGTCAACTAACATAATGAAAATGCCACAGTAGGAGATCAACTCGATCATTCACTGTCGAGTTGGTGACAGTATTTTAACAATTTGAGTATCTATTAAGTTTGTCCTTTGCCAAATTTTCTTCCATTGTCTAAACGGCCGTTGTAACGCTTAAATTAAAAACCGCTTATCCCTCACACAGCGATAATAAAAATTATCTTTTTATAAATAGCTTTCTACATGTCACGTCTAATGTACCAGAAAATATGTATATAAATGAATGTTTGGAAGCGCAAATATTAACGCTTTCCGTGTCACCGATGATCTGGCCTGGATTTTCCATTCAGTTCACTTAACATTTTGGCTATAAAAAGAAATGTAATCATAAAATAATTTTTAATATTATATGTGGATACACATATTATGATATATGATGATACATTGATGATTGGTACATTAAAAAAACTTTTACAATAATTTTTATAACTTTTTTAACCATTATGAAATACATGTTATTTAACAAATATAATAAATGCAAATAAAAATATCGTGAAAAAAGATATCGAATACGAATATATTGAATAATTTAAAAAGTATTTATATCAACGTCGAATGAATAGTCAATGTATCGAATGAAGTATCACATATCGATATTTCTAATAAAAGCAATAAAAACGTTGTATTATGTTACATAATAATATTATTAAATTTTTATAAACGCGCATAAGACACTATAAAACTAAAATCTTTTATATTTTATGAACTTTAATTTCAATTTTTTATTATATAAGATTTTTCTATTTATATTATATAATATATACATATAATATTTATATAATATATAATTATATCAAAGATATATCTTAATAATATTTAAAATATTCGTAAAACGAATAATTATAAAGTGTTTATTGTATTCATACTTTTATTATTCGATTTTCGCAGCAAAGATAAAAATATATCAAACAGGCGATAATATCTAATATCAATAAACATCTCAGAGTCATCGATGACTCACGCAACGTAGTCAAATGATTTAAAATTGGCCCGGAATTGAACGTGTTAATTAGACGTATTCTTTCATATCCCACTATACGTTACTCTATGTAATTTTCGTGCATTAGTTTACCATTGCTACTTTTTCGAATGTGATAGCAAACTGTTCTAATATCATTCGTATGTCGTAATAAGATTTCTTCATATAATATAGCATGAGATTTTCATCTTTTGAATCTAGGACATTTTGCTCGTTTAAGAAACTTGATTTTTCTATATATCTTGGTGAGAGAGATGCTTTGATTTCGTAAAAACGTTCATCTCCGTAGCTTTTCAGTTCTAGATACTTCCAGTTTCCTTCGTACATGTATTTTATGAGATTCTGTCGGAACGACAAATGCCAACTGGCTAACATAGTGCACATACATACGCGCGGATACATAGCCGGACATACTAAAGAAGGGAATACCGAGAGCTTTACGAGATTCACGAGAGGGAGGAAAGTCATTCGAATACTTGTGCGTGATTTCCACCTCCGGTCGAGCTAGGGACAGAAAGGTAAAACGAAACATTGGAAATTCGCAAAATGCTAGTGCAGCTTTCTCACGACGGAGAAATTTTTTGATAGTAACACACATCGCAATTGTTGAGAATTCCACCCACGTTTAGTCGTTTGTGCACTTTACGCTGATGCGACGGTAAACCACGTTTGTTCCAAACAGATAGATCGACTTACGTAACGACCGCTACACGAAAAGTTATCGTTTCATTCTCCGACTCGTCGATGCGCGAATTGAAACAAAACAGGAGATACGTCTAAAGAAAATTGCTATAGATATCCCTCATCTGTTTATATGAATTTGATTTATGTAGATTGTGTAAGTGAAAACTTCCATTGGAATAAGATCGATTGATTACTCTTGTGAGTAAATATTTTTGTATGTAAAGTTCACTTTAGAAGGTTTATAAATCGTGGCAGAGAGAGAATTCTATTTATAATTTGAGATGCGATTACAATATGAGAGATGTTTTAGGGGAATTGAAATGCGCACACATAACACATATAAATACATGGCATTATATAAAATTATAAATCAAATTTGCTAAATTCCAATGTGAATCTCTAGCTATATAATACCTCGAGATTATAAAAATTGCAACAAATTTATTAGTTCTTAAGATTAGTATCAAATTATTAATATCTTTCTAAAAAATGTGTATTAGCATAAAAAATTATTAAATTGCTTGTTAATATTTAATATTATTACCTTAATTTTGTTCATGATTGCATTTCAAGATCGAAAAAGATTTCGGCGCGCGCGTGGTTTGCGGAATTAATTATGTATATAAATTCACTCTGAAATATTTAGACACTAAGATTGGCTTTATATCCAAAAATAGCTTTATTTGTTTTAATTTATTTTTGTTGGTCTAATACGAATTGTAATTGTAATATATTTCTTTTTTGCTTTTATTACTTTTTTTGTCTTAATAAATTAATTATTGCACTGAAAGAAATTTTGGTCACTTTTAGTCTAATGAATGATCATCAATCAATGTTCAGTTAATTCATTAATACAATAACTGGATTCATTAATATAACTACACATTCACGTATTCTTGCAATGAATTCTAGTAATATTTTGATAATCTAAATCATTATGAGAATTCATTGGACTAGTTTTCATTAATTTAATGAACATATATTTTATTGTACTCACGTAGTTTTGGTGTGTGTGTGTGTGCGTGCGTGCGTGCGTGCGTGCGTGCGTGTGTGTGTGTGTGTGTGTGTACTATATCAAATACCTCTTTTCCCAATATAAATATAAAGACGTTTTAAAAAGGAAGATTCTGAAATTCTTATTTTAGTGTTTACAATCTGTTATATCAGACCTTCATTACAATATAAAAACATCCTTTCCCTTTATATCGTCGTCGATCATCGGCCCGTCGCTATGGAAATACAACGAAGAAGGTTATTATAGAAGCGAAATAAAAAGTTTCACAGAGAATCTTGTGTCACGAGATATTTTAGCGTCGACGTAACAATATATGCCATGATTCAGTTGGGCAGAAGTCTCCAAATGTAAAAGAGAAGTGCATGGGAAGAAGTTCGGTAACTCCAATATAAATGGCCTCCACAGACCTGGAAATAACGCGTCATGGATCGAAAGTTTCGTAAAACTGGGGATGGGATCGAATCTTGTCGAGACTTCCATATATTAAAACTCAAAGCACTCTCCCAGTAGCTCACCCACACACGGCTTGTTTAAAAGCAGAATGCAAGTCGGACTTCGAACGGGTAAAGTCCCAAACGGCGATATTAAATCGTTCTTTTATAGCACGATGTGACGCGAAATGAAACGGCTTACGTAATATTCCATCATATGGTATCGCAGCACTTCGATGACTTGTTCTGTGGATATATTGAGCCATGCTCGATTTCGGTCGCATCCTGTAAATATCGTAGATGGAATAAAAAAAAATACGCAAGATAACGTCCGTTTGCGAGAATTGACATTTATCATGGAACGTTTTGACGGGAAAAAGGAATCAATTGTGTATAGATAATAATAACTGTATTCTAGAAGATACGTGATAGATGATGTAATTTAGAAACCTATTAACAGATTCAAAATATATGTTATTTAGCAGATTTTATTTTTGCTTAAACTGATATAAAATTTTAAATTTCAAAATCGCGAATTAAATTTCCAACGTTATTATTATTTGCATTTTAAGAAATAATTCAAATTTCACTCATTTCAAGATCTTTACATCGATTTGTCGCCTTTAGATCCTACAATTTCATGCAAATAATTGTCTTAAACCTCAGAAGAACAAATAAAAATTAATTGCGGACTATCCTGAAAAATATTTTAATTTGTTTTAAATTCTACATAATATAGTCCTTTTTTAAATTAAGAAATTAAAATTTTCAGCGTGTATAAGAGATACTTATCCAATTAATTAATCTAAATATATAATAAAAATATTTTAACTTACTATAAGTTATTGTTTTCTTTTTTTCGTTATGAAAATTAGATATTCACGATAGAAATGATGTTCATCTATTACCAGAAAATTACCAGATAATCTATTCAATTTATTGCAATAATCATAAACTCATCTGAGGATACATTGGTCTTGAAACAATATCATAGTATAGCGATAAACATAATTTTACGAGTCGATTTGTTAAAGATAATACAGCAATACCTTCTTTTTGTAATTTTCAGAAATATAAACTAATTTTGATGCGTAGAAAGGTTATACAACAACATAACAATAACCGCATAAATATGAATATTATAAGAGATAATGTCAATTAGAATATACCTACAGTCATTGGTTATTCTCTTGAACATTAAATAGATCGATCGATAGCTACATAATATCGAAATATTCCAACGATCAAGTTGCTATCACACTGATTAGACTGTCTAAGATATATGATTACATAGTATGTTATACAACGGACACAAAGGTACAAACAGATGTGTTTAAAAAGTTCTAATTATATGATTCCGAGATTAGATATATTCATATGATACCTTATTCACAATATCTGAATCAAAGGAAAATATAAATGGGAAGTATATGTGGAAATTAGTAATTCAGCCGGAAGAATACCAAGAATTTGTCAGAGTATATTTACAGCCTGTGAGTAACTCTAATTAGCTTTTACTTCAGATTCAAGTTATCATCCTAACTGCTAATCTACTTTTGATATTACTCTGACGACTAAATTTTAAATTAAAAATCTCATAAATTAACACAAATGAGCAAAGAAAACTATCCTGTCAAAGCAAATTGTCTAATAATATTTTTGTATGAATTTACAATTTTTTTTCTTCAATCAAATGGCACGTCAATTATTTGTCGGTCTTCAAACACAATTCTGAACTGAAGCTGGAGTACGTAATATCTTATATAATATTAATTGAGCTTATATATGAAATCAACGATAATATTACAAATTAAATTGACAAGCAATTTAATATTATTGATGATAATGAGCATCTCAATTGGCGTGCAGTTTGCTAGGAAACTATAAAATTCACACAAAAATATTATTAGGCACTAAAACTTGCTTTGACCGGATATGATCTTCTCTCATTTGTGTTAAACATTTTCCAGTTGATTGCCACTTAACATTGCTCATAAAATAACCTTTATATTCAATTTTCTTTGATATTCTATAAATAACGATATAAAAACTGATATCTTGTATATAAGAAAAAAGTGAAATTGTCACATTAGATCGTGATAATCCATTATCATCGAACCAGATGATTTTTCATATACCAACGCGTGTAAAGAATGTAGGTTTCATGAAACGTACCACTTTTCTATCAATTCACATCGACGCTGCAATTCGAACCGTTCGATCTGTTCCAACAAATTCCCATTATCGAATAGGACAGCAAAGCCGAGGGAGGTGCAGGAACTTCGTAATCAAGCCTGTCTGAGTATTATCGAAGTTTTTACTAAAGGATTTGTAAATGTCTTTTGAATATAAGGAGATTACAAAAGAACGATGAATATTTTATTAGCAAAATTGCATTAAACAATAAGTGTCTGATAGAAATGCCATCCTTAATAAATCGATCAGAACAATGAGATTGGCAATGAACATCTACAAAATGAACTTACACTCTTATTGGATTTGACGGATTTGTGAAATGTTAATAGCCTCTTTCTAAGAAGCCAAATCAAATTATTTTTAAAAGATAAAGCTGTTTAGAGAAAAGAATCTTATTTTCCGATGGAAACTACCGTTGAGAGAAGATCCTTGATTTTGTTATACAAAAAACAAATTTTATTTTATTCCGTAATTCTTAAAAATTTTTTAAAACATTTAAAATTCTATTTAAAAAAATATTTCCCTCTTTCTAATTTTAATACCTGATTAAAATTTAATATCTTCGGATAATACATTTCCACGGATATTCACTTTTACTATAAAAAAATTTATTCGTATATAATAACTTTTCATTTGCCCTAATTTATACCAAATTTCATTTTACAAACCTCATGTAGGTATCACGATATGTTTCGAAAATCAGTCGAAACTACATGATTGCGTTAACGAAGCTATGCTTCAATACTCAATTATATAGATGCGGGTTTAATTATCAGCGAAAAAAAGAAAGTTTTAACAATACTATTCGCAAAAACTCGGTTTTGTTCTTACTCGAAAAAAGCTGGTAATGAAACCAATTTTCTGAAACGCATCGAACGGGTGAAACGTATGAATTGCGCGGCAGATCCGTTTTTCTACGTTAAAATACAGCTCGTTCGAGCTGTCAATGTCGATCAATTACCGAATCAATGAATAAACAAATGTTGTATCGATGCGATTTCGCCCACGATGGAAATCATCTTGCTAATTAGATCGCTTAACCAAAATCGGTGATTATGTGGACGTAAACGCGCTACTTGCGGATTACATTGCGTAATAAGAAGGATCGAAGTACTCTTGTTTACAATTCGACATCCATTCTGAAAAACAAATTTTTACAATAACAATACAATATATATATATTATATTATTTATCTGTTCGTGTTTTCAAAGGTTGAACAAGAGTTGAACTCTTAACCTAAATTTTTGCGATGTATTTCTTTATATTAATGTTTTAGGAAACATTAATTCTTGAGACATTTATCTTAATTTATTCGTATTAATTAATAAATCGATATAGGCATATTGTCGTTAAATTTTATTTGTTAACGTTAAATTTTATTCACAATTGCCTTTCAATTTACTTTAAGGTTATTTTAACCAATAACA